TCAGCCGTGCTTGGAGGTCTCTGGAAGTGTGTGCATGTGTGGCGTATAGAGGTAATTACAGCCGAGAAAGCACCACCCTGCTTGCAAATAACAGAGCCACAAAGAAACGTCCTTCTAAATATAACTGGAATTGTCGTAAAGGGAACAAATATGCGAGTCGGCACAGAGGACAAGGACAGTACAGGCCGTTTTGCTTGTAACGATGCGTGCGTAGGTCACACACAAGCGACTCGCGGTGTGAAAATGTGCCGTTTCTCTAATCGGCTAATGAAGTGGCAGCTAATCTGACAAACACTCAGGTGTGTGACCAGAGAAGGTGAGACAGAAGCAGATATGGAGGGCGATCTTCACCTTTCGCTTCACTCTCCTCTACAGCCGACTCCCCGAATTGATTCAAGTCATTTCAATTAGTCAGTCTGAGAGCATCATGGGAGACGAGGCTCCGCGGGGATAGAGTCCGCCATTAAGTCTTCAATCCATCATCATCCGCCGCCGAAAAAATCCCGCGAATGAGTTGCTGGTTGACCTTGCGGTGCAGTGGTCAATACTGTACATGTGTCAGAGCTTGACCTTTCATATTGATCAGTTCACACGCTAATCTGGTCAAGTGCACGTGACGAGAGACTTGGAGCAACATGATCCTTCTGCACCTCGAGAGATTTGGACGAAATTCATATCAAAAGTGAGTTAACATCTTGGACCACTCATAAGCATGTTTTTGTTTGGGTGTGAACGCTCCCTCTGTGAAATTCTCTCCTCAAGCCCCCACACACAAATGAGTTTTTTTCTATTTCCTGCCTGGGTGAATCCAGGGATGGGCATTTAATTTAAAGCAAGACAGACGAGTGAATCTAATCTGAAACTTGATCTGGTCCTAATTGCAGAAACAGCAGGGTGTTGATAAGGTCACACGTTTATTCTGATAACCTGACTTGATCTGATCTCACATAATATAGTATTGTTTGATTGCTGATTAATCTACTGATTATTCTCTTAGTCAAATAATCCTCTGAACCTGAAAAACCCACCGGCAGGTTTGAAAGACATATTGGCTTTTTATCAGAGCCACACATTGTTAAAACAGAAAGAATTGTGGGATTTTCAGCTTTCTGGTGGTCCTTGAACTCTTCATCAGTGTTGTACTGTTCAATGGTGAAACCTTGATTAAAATCGGGACATTTCAGGGGTGCCGCTATAGCTCACTTGGTTGAGCTGGCGTCCCATGTACAGGGCTACAGTCCCAATGTGGAGGTCATGGGTTCGAATCCCGCTCATGACCTTTCCCCACACGTCTTCTCCCCTACTTTCCTGTCTCTCTCTCACTGATCTATCAAATAAAGGCACAAAGGCCAAAAAAATAAAAAAATAAAAAATCGGGACATTTCAGTGTCGTGTTTAAAAATAAAACCAAAAATAAACAGTTTGCATGAACCAGATTCTATAAAAAACTAAATATTCTTTACTGTTTGTTGTAACTGGGAAACATTAGTGACTCAGCTATCAACAGCAGCTACATGA